CCTGCAGTCGCGGGGCAGCTCCTACCCCGCTCCCCTGCGTCCCTTCTTCTCCTTCATCTCCCTGCTGCGCGTGCAGCCGTGGGGGGAGGGTATGAGGGTGGCGGGTGTGAGTGGTCGGCTGCTTCTCCTCCTCCTTTCTCTCCCACTGCTGCAGCTGCCGCTGAGGGGGGGATGGTGTGGGAGTTGGGGGAGTGGTGCAAGGGATGCAGAGGGGGATGTGACAAGGGGGTTTGGGGCAATGGGGGGAGGTTGAATGGAGGTAGCCGTCGTGAAGTCCGCAGCTCTAGTCGCCCGTGAGACTGTTGCGTCAGAGGCCCGTGGGTCAGTTGCTCTTGCCGACGAGCGAGCCTGTTACTCCGGTTACCCGTTACAGAGGGTCAGTTGCTCTTGTTGGCGAGCACAGTTAGTTACACCGTTTGCGACCAGTGCCAGCAGCTTCAGCGGCCGCCCACCTCGTCTCCTCTCCAGTTTCCTCCTCTTCCTCACTTGCCCTCTGTTCCTGCCACTAGGCTTTGCTTGTGAACTGGTTCTGCGACTGCTTGTTATGTTGGCTATCCCCCACTTCGCCTATGGGGGTGTGTTGAATTGTTATTTGCTCTGTAGGCTGTAGTGGGGTACTCAACAAAGAGTACAACACTTTTAGGGTTCCTACATGTATCCCACCTGCCTGCTAGTGCAAACCCCTCTTCTACCATTCCTTCTTATCACCTAGTTTCAACAAGAGGTGCACTGGTGATCCTCGATTGATCCTAGGGAAGGGTTACATGCACGTTGGTCTGGGGGGTTATGGGCGCACTTACCCGCTACACAAACAAGCCCTTTTATCCCAATGGTCTAGTGGTTGGGATTCTGACAAGCAGTATCTCCATGCCCGACTAATTTGCATCGGATTCTGCCAACTACCGCATGACCAAGGAATGTACCGACTCACTAAAGGGACCGACTACATCTGGCTCATCGTTTACGTAGACGACCTACTCTACATCGGCTCAACTGACGACATCACGACTTGGTTCGAAGAGGAGCTGCAGCGGGATCTCATGCTTACCATCTCGTCTACCGTGACACAGTTTCTGGGACTCAACATACAAGAAGGGGAGAACGCGATCTATCTCAGCGCCGCAAAATACGCCGACACCATCACCAAGTGCTTCGGACTAACTCCAGCTGCCATCACCACGCCATATCGCTACACTGACGGAAATCACAAGGAAGCCTCCGCTCTGCTCAAACCTGCCAGTATTCGCGACTACCAACGAAAGCTAGGCTGTCTACTCTTCGAAGCCGTTACTTGCCGACCGGACCTATCTTACTCAGCTAGCCAACTCGCCACCTACCTCAAAAGGGCTGAAAGAGATCGCATGGCCGAACTCGACCGCGCTCTTCACTACCTTGTCAGCACTCCGACAATCGGCCTAACCTACCACAAAAGCGGAACTACGACGCCCAAGCTAATCGGCTACAAGGATGCTGACCACACCGGCGATTCCGGCAATAGGCGATCGCGCACCAGCTACATCTATTGACATCCTGAAGAATGAACAAGGAGTGAAATGACTAAGAGCAGGATTGGTACAAGTGCTAACCCTAATTGGGTTGTACCCCATATGGGCTACCCCACTACAGCTTACACAATGAGCAACATATAAGTTTGACACACCCCCATATGCAAAGTGGGGGAGAACAAGAGGTCACAAGACCGGTCAAGAAAAGCAAAGCAAGCTCAGGGTGGATCACAAAGTCACCACACAGTCTGAGCACAAGCAAATGGCCACAAGGCTAGTTCACATGCAGAGTTATATATATAGGAGAACAAGCAGTACAGTGATCACAACCTAGCAAGTGTAAGCATGCAGGTATATGTATATAGATCACAATACAGGCAAAGTCAAGAAGTGAGCAAGTGAGGCAAAGTAGGCACAAGGCCTAGAACAATACAGAAAAGCTGATGATCACAAGCACCTAGAGCAGCAGAATCACTAGCACCTACAGCAGCAGACTCACTAGCACCTAGAGTAGCAGACTCACTAGCACCTACAGCAGCCGCCTCTATACCTGGGTTGGACGGCACACACAGGTAACAGTCACCCTCAGCACTAACAGGCAATGCATATATGGCAGTGAGGATAGCATCATAGTCAAAAGCAAAGATATCCACTCTCTGCCTATGCAGCTCCACCCAGCTGGGGAGCTCACCCGCGTCACCAAAATCCGTACGCCAGGCGCCGCTCAGACCGGCGAAGCAGCGGGACTGTGTATGACCAATTGTCCCGCAAGTCTGACCAGCCCGATCACCTATGCGAATGACGTACGGGCTTCGAGCAGGACTCCGAGACCCTCTACTCTGAGCGTACCACTTACGTAGCTGCTGTGGTGTAAGGGTCTCGCGCAGACGCCGCTGCAGCTGCATCTGGCCACCGCCAGAAACTCCCGGCCGACCAGCTCCAGAGCGACTGCCACTAAGGCCGCCACCACAACCCCAACTAGCGTACCACTCACGAAGCTGCTGAGGCATGAGGAACTCGCGCGGACGTCGCTGGAGCTGTATCTGGCCACCGCCAGAAACTCCCCACCGAATAGCTCCACAGGGACTGCTACTACGGCCGCCACCACTCCCACTGCTGCCACCACTCCCACCGCTCCCACTCCCACTGAAGTGAGGTCATAGCGAGCAAGCAAGGAGGCGCGCGACCAGTAGGTCAGTACGGAGGGAAGGTAGTAGCACGAGTAGCAGCAGTAGCAGTAAGAGCAGCAGAGCGGCTCGGTGAGACTAGGCTGCAGCACCTCCAGCACTCCTAGCAGCACCTCCACCAGCAGCACCAGTAGCACGAGCAGTAGGGCGGATCGGGTTGGGCAGGGCAGCTCGGGCTGGGTGGCGTGGCTCAGCCTGGGCGGCGCGAGCAGCAGGGAGCGCGTTGTGCAGGGCAGCAGGGCGCGACGCGCGGGCTGCAGCAGGGTGCGACGTGCGGGGCAGCAGAGCGCGACGCGCGGGCTGCAGCAGGGCGCGACGCGCGGGCTGCAGCAGAGCGCGACGCGCGGGCTGCCGTAGGGCGCGACGCGCTGGGCAGCAGAGCGCGACGCGCGGGCTGCCGTAGGGCGCGACGCGCTGGGCAGTAGAGCGCGAGGCACGGGCTGCAGTAGAGCGCGACGCGCGGGGCAGCAGAGCGCGACGCGCGGGCTGCCGTAGGGCGCGACGCGCAGGGCAGCAGGGCGCGACTTGTGGGCTGCAACAGGGCGCGACATGCGGGCTACAGCAGTGCGCGACGCACGGGCTGCAGCAGGACGCGGGCCAGGGCGTGTGCGGGGCAGCGCGACGCGGGGCAAGGCAGGGCGTGCGCGGGGCAGCGCGACGCGGGACAGGGCAGGGCGTGCGCGGAGCAGCGCGACGCAAGGCAGGGCAAGGCGTGCGCGATGCAGCGCGACGCGGGGCAGGGCGTACACGGGCAGTGTGACGCAAGGCAGGGCAGGGCAGGGCGCGCGCTGACGGCACAGCGAAGGGCAGGGCGTGGGGTAACGCAGTAACCGTAGTTGGTCACTAAGTAATGGTGGGCCTGAAAAAAAAACGGTCCTAGGCTAGGACATGCTCTGATACCATGTCAGAAGAATGAACGAGGAATGAAATGACTAAGAGCATGATGGGTACAAGTGCTAACCCTAATTGGGTTGTACCCCATATGGGCTACCCCACTACAGCCTACACAATGAGGAACATATAAGATTGACACCGACTTGAGCCTATCGGCCCTATCTCGTGGCAGTCGAGCAAACAAGAATTAATCGCTCTCTCCTCAGCTGAAGTAGAATATATCGCACTCTGCTCAGCCACCAAGGAAGGATTATACCTTCGCGAACTACTGGAAGAAGCGAAGCTAGCTCAGTTACCCAGCTTCTCGGTGTTCTGGGACAACCAATCGGTCATCCGCATATCGAACAAGAACGGGTTCGCGAATCGATCGAAGCACATCGCCCTCCGGTGCTTCTTCGTGAAAGACGAAATCGAGAAGGGGAGACTCGAGCTATCCTACTGTCCTACATCCGAGATGGCAGCCGATTACTTGACCAAGAAACTCGGAAAGCAAAAGTTCGAGTACTTCATGCTGCTAACTGGACAAAGCCACATCACCAGCAGCGACACTCCAGAAGCGAAGGGGAGTGTTGGAAACAAGTAATTTAACGCTCCTGTTGTGTCGAAACAGAGGTTGACAGAAAGTAACAGCTGGAGGTTATGCGAAGGTCAAAGGTCAGCGACCCTTGACTCGACGAAATACAGCGCGACAGCAAGGACAAACAACTGACTCGGTATTGAGCAGTTGCCCGAGTCGTCACTGTATCGAACCACAACAGCAAAACAGTTAGTTGCACCCTTTCATATTTCTTGTAATCTTATAAAAGCCTTTTGTAATACCTTGCTATACTCAATCTCTTGCTCTCACACACTAGTGCAAGTTGGTTCAACAAGTTTACTTAGAACGCTTTCGCAACTACAACTTTCTTACTCAGGGTCTCAGCCTTGAAAAGATCCTAAGGGCTTTTCTCAGCCCAATAGTGACCAATGTGAGGACACTTATACTGTTTCGCATGCTCGGATGAGGGTGCCATGTGCTGTACTTTGCGTTGATACCGTATAACCTCTACGTAGTTGGTTGCTGTGGCTCCACATGTGTAGTAGATGCCATTTTGCGCGCCTTACAGAAGGATGCCAGCAGAACGAGTTGTCGGGGGCGGGCCGTTTCACTCTACCAGACGAACGGTAAAACTGAAGAGGCACCAGTTACGCCATCGGTGGTCAACTAGTTTTGGGGTACATTCAGAGGTACAGACGTAGCATCTGGGACAACCATTTATACGCCCTTATAAGCCCTTATAATGTCGGACTGCTTACAAGAGCGACTTGTTCAACCTTTGAAGCAGCAACTCATTCCAACCATCAGGGACACCAGGCAGGCAAAAATTCATGCAGTCTTGTTTTGAGCCATCAATAACCTGATCATGCCATTTACTCACATGTGCATCTGCCCGAGCAGCTGAAACTTGCCCGATTGGAAGAATTTGTAATCCGCTGCTGCTGCTGCTGCTGCTGCTGCCACTGCTGCCATCACCAGCCAGTTCAGAGTCGATAACATTTGCCCTTTCCTTGTCCCTATGAGGCCTCTCTAGAGGCACTTTCACACTGTCACAGGTACCTTTGCCAGACCACTTGGCCTTCCATATGTTCTTGTAACGAGGGACTGCAGGGTCCTTGCTTGAGGCGAAATGGTGTCCAGGAGTGCTAAGGAAGAAGACCGGAATGTTCTTCAATCGAGGGGTGCTCCTAGCCCAGGCACTGAACGTCCTCAGTGCAGAGCGGAAGGCGGATAGCGAGTCTGAGGAGGCGGCGGCTTCACTGGAATCATGTGCAGGAGAGGTGCCGTTGAGAAAAACAACACGCTGCTCCTTGCTGCTGCTGCTGCTATTGCTGGTGTTGTAATAAGGGCTTGCGGTTGCAAGGGTGGGGAGAAATGCGTTGTGGGAGAAGGCTGCAGCAGCGTGCAGCACGAGGAGGTCTGCGTGCTGCTCTGCAAACTCGTGCCACGGCCCCAGCTGATTCAGAAATACACGCACCGTTGATGCCTTCCCACTGCTGCTGGTGGTGGCAGTGGTGGTGCTGACGATGCTGGTTACCAGGTAGTCCGAAGGGAAGAACACAAACGTTACGTTTTCGTTGGCTGATCGCCACATCTCCGCGCCCGCTGATGCCATTGCCTCCTTCTCTGCCCTTGTTGCACGCCTGGCAGCGGTCTTTGCTTTTGGTGAGACTCGGTACAGCACAGAGGAGGGTGAGGCGGGTGGCGTGGAGGAGGAGGAGGAGGGAGAAGAGGCCTGGGCCCACACGAGGCAGATGAGGGAGAGGAACATCTGCCGTGGGCGGAAAAGGAGGGGAAGCAGGAGGGGAGCAGACAGAAAATCGAATTCTGAGGCGCACCAGAAGTCATAGTGGGTCCACCGCACGAGGCAAAGGAGGGAAAGGAACATTCACATTATTCATTCTCACACCATTCTCCCATCACGCTCCCATCATTCTCGCAACACTCTCCCATCACTTTACCAACACTTTACCATCCCCATCCCCATCCCCATCCCCATCCCCCATCCCCATGCCCATGCCCATGCCCATGCCCATGCCCATGCCCATGCCCATGCCCATGCCCATGCCCATCCCCATCCCCATCCCCATCCCCATCCCCATCCCCATCCCCATCCCCATCCCCATCCCCATGCCCATGCCCATGCCCATGCCCATGCCCATGCCCATGCCCATGCCCATGCCCATCCCCATCCCCATCCCCATCCCCCATCCCCATCCCCATCCCCATCCGCATCCCCATCCCCATCCCCATCCCCATCCCCCATCCCCATCCCCATCCCCATCCCCCTCCCCCATCCCCATCCCCATCCCCATCCCCACCCTCCTCCCCTTCAACCTCCCCACCCACCATCCCCACCTGCTTCGCCACAGCATCGCCTGCAAACACAACATGCTTGTCCCGGAAGCTGCTGAGAAGCTTCCCGGCATCAATCCGCGGCAGCAGGCACCCAGCAGGCTGCCAGCGGTACTGGGCAAATTCAAAGAACGGCCTTCCAGTGCAGGCGAACCGGGACTCGATATAAGGACACGTGGAGGCGTATAACGGGTACGTGTTGTCCCTTTTCCACGTGCCCTGCTCCACCGCACACCTGTCCTTCTCAGCGCTCCTCCTTGCCCCCCCACCTCCTGCTGCTGCTGCTGTTAATGATGATGATGATTCTGACGGTACTGCCGTTGATTCCCCTCCTCCTTCCCCTTTCCTTTCACCGTCTACTTTCCTCTCCCCATTTCCTTCCCCTGTTGCTTCCCCTTTCCTTCCGCCTCCTCCTTCCGCGTCTCTTGCCCCCGTCTCCGCCCTTCCCCCTTCCCCGTCCTGATCCTCTCCCCCCGTCTCTGACCCTATCCGTGCTTCCCCCGCTGTCCCCGCCTCTTTCCATGCCCAACCTTCCGCTCCTGATCCCGCTTTTTCGGGCTCCTCGTTATCGGATTCCTCTTCCCGCCTTTCTTTTTCCTCGGTTTTCCCCATCCTGTCGTCTTGTGAAATACTGTCGCTTTTCGCGTCATCCTCCGCTACTAGCGGCGCGATTTGCGGAGCGTCGGGGTCGTAGCCATATCTGGCGGTGAGATTCGCGCTGTGGTGCGCGACGGACGAGACGTAGCCAACGATGATGAGCGCGAAGAGCGTGGCGAAAAGCAGGTAACGTCGCAAATGGAAGCGGAATCCTTCGTAGCCCAGGAAGCGAGAGAGGAATTCCTCGATCTCGCCGGGAAGATTCATGCTAGAATTCGACGGGCAGGCAAAAAAATAATGGCGGCGACGGCGAACTAGGCGAGCTAGGGAATGCCAAAATCTAAATGATTGGCTTTTGGCTGGTCTGGCTTCATCACAGGTGTTTTTGGAAGTGACAGAAAATGCTCGTTATAAAAGGCTCCTTGATTGTTTTGAGTTTCGAATGTACACACCGGATCCAGCCACCAGTAATTTTTCTTGTTTCGGAACGCGACATTTATCGTCTGGGCACTCTTCTCGAGCCTTTCCACGTGACACTTGTGGCGGTCCAGCTGTCATTCTGGATGCCGCCACGTCGTTCTCCTCTCCCACCAATCGCAAGAGACGACGCAATCCAGTTTGCTCTACGAGTTGCGCCTTGGAAACTCCATAGCAATCCGCACGGATCAGCAGCTAGCTCCAAATGGAAGCAAAAACGCAGTCCTATCAAGTAGGATCAACAGCACATCAAAAGCAGCAATAACAGCTATTATCCAAGCCTTTCCAGCAGTACTTGAATTTTAGGATTTGTCTGCATGAAGCTGCGACCACGCTGGTTCGTACAATATCATACCTTTTCTTTGTTTCCCCAAATTGATAACTTTGTTGTATTCGTATAGAATCGAACGTAGCCAACATGGCCGCAGCGTCGCGCTCGTTAGCGCTCCTTCAGAGCTCCTCACAGACCTTAAAACTAGCGCCCGGCAATGCCGTTACTAGCGGCAGCAGAAGCCTCACAGGTAACCAGTGCCAGTCGCTGGTATCGCGACCGTTGATCCCCGCAATTCGCCAGCCAGACGCACCTGCAACCAGGCGAATTCGTGGTCCGATCAAGGTGCAGGCCGGGCTAGATAAGCTCGGGTTCCTGGGTCGACTAGGCCGGGTGATTAAAGAGAAGGCGCAGAGCGATTTCGACCGTGTGTTCAAGGGTGTAACTAAAACGAGGGAGAGCCTGAAGGTTGTGGACGAGCTCTTGACGTATTGGAATCTAAACGAGGCGGACAATATTCTGGAAGAGCTGGAGGAGGTAAGCCGTAGAAGTCAGCTGCATCGAATGTTTGTGTACCCTGAATGCTTTTTATGTGCTTCACTGGAATAGGAAGAACGTGTGGATGCAACAGGGAAAGACCAAGAAAAGTGATGAATGGACTTCGATGGCATTCACAGAAATTAGAAATCTCATTGCGAAAAGTTGGCATAGTTCACCCCCCTCCTACATATCTTATCATCTGTCTTATTGCTGAAGGCCCTCATAGTGGCGGATTTCGGGCCGCGCACTGCGATTCGCATTGTGGACGGCATCCGGGAGGAGATTAAAGCGGGACAGCTTAAGACTGGCAAAGAGATTAAAGTGAGTTGAGTCTTTGTGGTGATATTGAACAGAGGATCATGATAAATTCGGGGCTTGGTGGTGACAGTGATTAACTGATCGAATTAGAGGTTCGAACTTGGGTTCACAATGGAGAACGAAAGGGGAGTCAATTAAATGCGTAATGACGTGAGAGGAAAGGTGAATTTGGAATGGTTTTTTTTTGCACGATTTTCTCTTACTTCTCTTCCCCTCTCTTCCTGCCGCTCGTCACCCCCGCTTTTTGGTCGTGCGGGTCCAGGAAGCGCTGAAGCGCGGCGTTGCGTTCGCACAATCCCCCCATTCTCCCCCCTACCCCTTCTCTCGACCCACCCGTTTGTGCGCCGCGACTCCAGGAAGCGCTGAAGCGCGCCATTGTGAAGCTCCTCACGGAAAAAGCGCCCGTCACCGCGCTGGAGCTGGGGACCAGGTGAGAGCGATGGGGGGAAAGGGGAGAAGGGGGAACAAGGGGTGCGGGAGATTCGGCGGAGGGTTAGCCGGGAAGGGGAGTGGCTGCTCGCGCTGGCAATTCGCCCGCAATTGTGGGGACAGTGGGGAGCAGATGAGAGGTGCGCTTGTGGTTGTTGTACCTTCTCCTTTCCTTTCTCCATCACTCCGCAATCCGCACACCACGAACATCGTCCCGTCCCGCTTTACGTAGCTGCCGTACTCTTAACATCATCTTCCCCTGGGCTGCCGCCTTGCTACTATTGGCATGCTCGCCGCTACCCCTCCCCCTCCCCTTCTCCCGCACCCCCTTCTCTCCATGCACGCACCCAGTCGCACTCCTCCTTTCCCTGCCGCTCGTTGGAAACCCAGTTCCGTCCTCCCCTGCTCCGCTCCTCCCTCCCCTCTCTCTCCCCTCCTTCCATGCCCTCCCCCTCCCCCCCATGCGTGCAGCAAGCCAGCAGTGGTGATGATTGTGGGCGTGAATGGCGGTGGCAAGACCACCACCATTGGTCAGCCTCCCTCCCTCCCTCCCTCCCTCCCTCCCTCCCTCTCTCCCTCGCTCCCTCCCTACCTCCCTCCCTCCCTCCCTCCCTCCCTCCCTCCCTCCCTCCCTCCCTCCCTCCCTCCCTCCCTCCCTCCCTCCCTCCCATCCTCCCTCCCTCCCTCCCTCCCTCCCTCCCTCCCTCCCATCCTCCCTCCTTCCCTCCCTCCCTCCCTCCCTCCCTCCCTCCCTCCCTCCCTCCCTCCCTCCCTCCCTCCCTCCCTCCCTCCCTCCCTCCCTCCCTCCCTCCCTCCCTCCCTCCCTCCCATCCTCCCTCCTTCCCTCCCTCCCTCCCTCCCTCCCTCCCTCCCTCCCTCCCTCCCTCCCTCCCTCCCTCCCTCCCTCCCTCCCTCCCTCCCTCCCTCCCTCCCTCCCTCCCATCCTCCCTCCTTCCCTCCCTCCCTCCCTCCCTCCCTCCCTCCCTCCCTCCCTCCCTCCCTCCCTCCCTCCCTCCCTCCCTCCCTCCCTCCCATCCTCCCTCCTTCCCTCCCTCCCTCCCTCCCTCCCTCCCTCCCTCCCTCCCTCCCTCCCTCCCTCCCTCCCTCCCTACCTCCCTCCCTCCCTCCCGCCACTAGCGCCCCTCATGTCCTTTCTTGCTTCGAAGGCGTTTCAGCGCTCGCAGCAGTTGTTTTAACCCGAGTGTGTCGCCTGTTCTTGCTGTTGTTCACACCATCTCTTATCCTTCAAGTCCCATCCCCCATCTCCCCTTTCCCATGCCCTGTCTGTCATGCCCTCCCCATCCGTCTCTCTCGTTCCTATCCACCAGGCAAGCTGTCGCATCGGTTCAACAACGAGGGGGCTAAGGTAATGCCTTGCAGGGAACCAGGTCAGAGCCGGCCAACTCGTGTATGCGTCCAAATGACACACTTGGGCATAAACATTACACATTTGGGCGTCAGTGAGTCACACGTACACGTTGGGAGTAGCACGGCTTGCTGGTTTCGCGGTTGTTACAACAGGCTTGACTTGAGCATTGTGTCGCTAAAATAACAGAGTGAGGGTGTTAGGGGAGTCAATCATGTGCCATTTTGTCGTAACAGGGTTATGTTACGCTTTTCTTTAAGCCGTACCACCCACCCCCCCTCTCCTTCCCCCTCATCCGCTCCCCCCTGCTCTCGCCCATCCTCCGTTTCTCCTTCCCCTGCTCCCCTGTCTTATCCCTCGCTTCCTAGACTCGTCCCCCCCGCCACTCCCCCACCCTTACAGCTGTTTCTTGGTGACGAATATGCTGCCCCTCCATTTCCCCTTCTCTTCCCCTCTTGCAAGTGCTGCTGGCAGCGGGAGACACGTTCAGGGCGGCAGCGAGCGAGGAGCTTCTTGAACCTTTGATAACCCATCCGTGCTCCCCTGCATCCCTCCTCCCCACTTCGCCCCCTCCCCTTCCCGCCCCCTCCCCCACCCTCAGGTGCTGCTGGCAGCGGGAGACACGTTCAGGGCGGCAGCGAGCGAGCAGCTGGAGGTGTGGGCGGAGAGGACAGGCGCATCGATTCTCACTGCAGAGGGGGAGAAGACCAGACCTGCCACGGGTGAGTGCTTGCCACGGGTGAGTGCCAGTGCCAGTGCCAGCACACAGAGCAAATGCATGGTGATTGGAAGCACACAAGGAGAACAGCCGTAAATAGGCCCACCCACCCTTGCCCCCCCACACCCACGCGCTCACCCACATGCCCCCTCACACCCATGCATCCCATGAATTCCTCCGCGCCTGTTCCCATGCAGTGCTGGCGAATGCGGTGCGCAAGGCAAGCAACGAGGGCTTTGACATTCTCCTTGCTGACACCTCTGGCCGTGAGTCGTGGGAAAAGGGGACTGGTGCACGGGAGGGGGGTTGTTGGGGGGCTCAGTCACCGCAGGGGGTTTGAGGCATGGGAGGCAAGCAGCGAGGGCTTTGACATTCTCCTTGCTGACACCTCTGGCCGTGAGTTGTGCTACAGGGGGGACGGGAGGCACAAGGGGGGAACAGAAGGGACGGATGGATAGATGGGAGGGGGGGTCATGGAAGCTGCACTCCAACCTTAACCTCATAGAGTAGCTCAAAGCGTGCCCGTGTCAAGCCTAGCCTCCCTTTGCCTTCCAGCTTTCTCCCTCCCCACTCCCAACCACACAACACCACCACCACCCACCTCCCACCACCGCATTGCACCGCAGGGCTGCACACCAACTTCAACCTGATGGAGGAGCTCAAGGCGTGCAAGCGAGCCGTGGCCAAGACCCTACCCGGCGCTCCCAATGTGAGTCAACCCTACCACTGCGTGCTTCACACTGTTCTCAGGTACAAGAAACTCAACACTCTTGCGGATAACGCGTTCCTCTATGTTCGGCTCACTCTTTTTTTTTTTTCTTTTTTTTTTGGGTGTCGACCCAAAAACTGCAAGGTGCTGTGACAGACAGGAAATCTGATGGTTCATTCCTCCATGCGCTGCTTGTGTTTTACCCACTCACTGCAAGTCTACTCGCAGGAGGTGCTGCTGGTGCTGGACGGCGCGCAACATGCCTCAACATGCTTCCTCAGGCCTCTATCCATGATGCATTCTCTAGCGGTGCATTCTTTCCTGCACACGTGCTGTTCGGTGATTCCTACCCCACATGCTTCAGGAGGTGCTGCTGGTGCTGGACGGCGTGCAACATGCCTCAACATGCTGCTGCAGGCGCTTACTGATTGTGTCCCTGTTTATAATGCACTGCGTGCTCTGCACTCTGCTCTTGTTCTCCCCATCCAACCCACTGCATGCCTACAGGAGGTGCTGCTGGTGTTGGACGGCACCACAAACCTCAACATGCTGCCTCAGGCCCCCCTATCCATGCTGTAACCAACGCAATCCCTCCCCCAACACGCACTGCTCCTGTGGTCCCCACCCCATTGCCTACTCGCAGGAGGTGCTGCTGGTGTTGGACGGCACCACGGGACTCAACATGCTGCCACAGGCACGAGAATTCAACCAGGCGAGTCTCCTCTCCGCCTCCGCTCCCCCTACCCTGTATAATGCATGTTGATCACCCTATAATGCATGTTTATCACCCTATAATGCATGTTTATCACCCTAGAATGCATGGTTATCACCCTATAATGCATGTTTATCACCCTATAATGCATGTTTATCACCCTATAATGCATGTTGATCACCCTTTCTCCCTTGCTGTGCAGCTTTGCCCCCTTCTTCCTTCCCCTGGCTATGCGTGCTTGCCTCCTCCCTTGCCAACGCTATAATGTACATCTCCCCACCCTTACTATTGCACTGTGTTCCACCACTCTCTGTCTGTGCCAGGCTGTCGGGGTGACAGGCTTTGTCCTTACCAAGCTGGATGGCACGGCACGGGGCGGCTGTGTGGTGAGTTGCCTTTGCCCTCACCCTCCTCCCTTTCTTTCATTCGTTCCGTATTTATACTTTTGTTTTCTCTCTCACCCCTGGCTCCTGTATTGCACTTGCACTTGCTCCAGTCACTGACTCAATCCCATGCCCCATTCACGCTCTACCTATCAGTACCTTGTCAAACGAAATTTGCTGATGGCTGGGGAAATATGCCAATCTGGTTGACTCTCTACATGGTCTTATCCGGTGTGCTGTGTGCAGGCGAGTGTGGTTGACGATTTGGGCATTCCAGTTAAGTTTGTGGGCGTGGGGGAGGGCATGGAGGACCTTCAACCCTTCAATGCCGAGGCGTTTGTTGACGCTCTCTTTCCTTCGTAACAGAGATCTCACCACTTTGTTAAAATATGAGGCGCTTTAAAAAAATGTGGGGGAGGGCATGGAAGACCTTCAACCCTTCAATGCCGAAGCATTTGTTGACGCTCTCTTTCCCTTGCTGCCATGTCTTTGTTGCTGCTGAAGCATCAGCCAATGAAACAGTATCATTGTCTGTCTCCCTCCCAGATATGCAGTCACAAGAAAAGGCAGACCCTAGTACCCCATGCCCATGGGTCTCTTGTAAGGACCTAAATTTATTATTTTGTTCCATCACATTGGTAGTTCCCCCAATAGACCCCAAAAGACTGGTGTTTTGCCATAATGGAAAACAGTTTTTGTTGGAATTCAGCTACCGCTGCCATTCCATTCCATGCGGTAACTGCAGCATCGTTCTTTTTGACAATTAAGCGCGACCAAATCAGTGCAAATCAGTGCATAGTGCAAGTTTGCAACGTGTGTCAGGAGGGGCGAGTGACACGATATAGACCTTTCCTCAACACTGCTATCTGGAGTACTTACAAGCTCTTTATTCTGTCAGAATTCTTCCAGTTCTCATCCAAAGCACTATGCTAACCTACAGTACCTACTTTATGCTCTCGGGGTACCTGGCTCAACGCAAAGGTAAGTTGAGTTCCAATGCTCATTCAATGCTCTCGGGGTTCCAGTGCTCTCTGGATTCCAGTGCTCTCGGGGTTCCAATGCTCATTCAATGCCGATGCGTTACTGTCAAATTTCTTCCAATTCTCACCAATGTATCAAGCTCCTCTTGCCCCTCCACATCCACACCGCACCCAATAGATACAATAAATCACCTACCAGTAACCAGCTTGAGTTGATAAAGGAAATGCTACCCGAAGCTACCTCCATCAGAAGCAACCTCCACCAGAAGCTACTACAGTAACCCCCCCCCCAGCAGCACCTACCTCCGCCCAAACCTCCCGCCACCACCACCTGCTCCCCCCCCTCGCGCGTTGTGAGAGAAGGCAAACCTGGGCTTCGCCTTGCCGCCCTTCACTGCCCCCGGATCCACCACCTGAATGGTGCGCTGCTTCTTGGCTGGAGGGTGTGTGGGAGGGAGAGAGGGGGGGAGTTTACCAGAGGAAAAGGGTGCGTCTGGAGGGCCTCCCAGAACATCCCTTCACTGCGCCCGGGCCCACCACCTGAATGGTGCGCTGCTTCTTGGCTGGAAAGATGGGAGGAGGTATGGTGGCAGGAAGGGAGAGGAGGAAGGCAGGGGTTGGGAGGTGGGATGTGTTTGAGAAAGAAAGTGAGTTGGAGAGCGCCCCTTCACTGCCCCCGGATCCACCACCTGCATCATGCTCTGCTTCTTGGCTACATGGACCATGGAAGCAGTGGAGGGGGCGAGGAGGGCAAGACATGGGGAGGGGTGTGCTTCAGAAGATGAGTGTGCCTATTAGAACATTCCTTCTTGGCTACATGGACGATGGAAGCAGTGGAGGGGGCGAGGAGGGGAAGACATGGGGAGGGGTGAGCTTCAGAAGATGAGTGTGCCTATTAGAACATTCCTTCTTGGCTACATGGATGGAGGATCGGGGGATGAGTGCGGTCCTCACTCACCCTATAAGACCAGCTCCACCGCCAAAGCAAAGGTCTGGGTTGAGGGGTTTCGCATCTCACCGTCCTGGATCCCTTGGTACCGCTCGTGCAGCTTCCTCTTGGCCAACTCCAGGCGCTCCTTCTCTGTTCCTCCACCCCCTGCTGCAAACTGGTATAGGAGGGGGAGGAATGGCACAGCGCGGCAGGGAGGGGCAAAGGGGGGACAGGGCAAGTGCATGCACATGTGAGGTGGAGGTCAACAGCCAACTCCAGGCGCTCCTTCTCTGTTCCTCCGCCCCCTGCTGCAAACTGGTATAGGAGGGAGACGAATGGGACAGCGCGGCAGGGGGGGGGGCCAAGGGGTGGAAAGGGCAAGTGCATGCAAGTGTGAGGGTGAGGAAGTGGGAAAGCATTTGCTTGTTGGAAGTCAAGAGCCATCTCAATTCGTTTGTTGCTCATCACACAGAGTGTTGTTGGGACTTTAAGCAGCAGGGCAGCGTTGCTGCCTGCGTTGCTGTCATACTCTGCAGTTCTAAACCAGGATAGTTTGACAGAATGTTTTTCCTAAGCTGCTGACCAGAAAGGTTAAGAACACTCTCCTCATCCTCGCAATGCACAAACTGAATGCACTGCTAGCAGGTACAGGGTAACTCGGGCGGAGGGGTGAGGCTCCTGCCATACCAGTTTCAAGTCAGCTCAAATCTCGTCTGAAAGTCCAGGTACAGTGTACCTCGATGGAATGATGCGGTACAGCGTACCTCGGATCGCATGTTGGGCGGAGGGGTGAGGCTCCTGCCGTACGCAGGCGCAGTGGGCCGGTACGGCGACACAGACCTCTCCCTTTCCCTCTCCCTCTCCTTAGCGCCTTGAATCAAACGCCTCTGCAAAGGTGACCCCTCTCCTCCTACTCCTCCTCGCCCTCGTCCTGCTGCTCTGCCCATCATCTGTCCTGCACCACCCTGCCTGTCCATGCTTGAAACGCCAGCAGCAGCAAGCCCAGACACCACATTCCGTTTCTTCTCCCTCTCCCTCTCCAGCTCCCTGTCCTTAAGCTTTTCCCTTGCCCTCTCCTTCTGAATGCTCGCCCCCTTGCTCCCCCCAAACCCATCGCTCCCTACCATCTCCTCCTCCCCTCTCTTCTCCCTCACCCTGTCCTTCACGATGTTCCCCCCCCTGTTTCCCCCAAAGCCATCGCTCCCTATCATCTCCTCCTCCCCTCTCTTCTCCCTCCTCTCCTTGTTCTTTTTTATCAGAGCGCCAGCACTGCTGTTGCCAGCCCGACCCTGCGCCTCGCGTGCTTCCTGCCTGTCCCCGGTATACCGTGGCTTGCTCTTGTTATAAGCAGGGTTGCTGTTGTAAGCAGGAGTTCTGTTATAAACAGGTGGGGATGAAGCTACGTCGTCGTGGGGTGGTGGAGCGCGGTAGTTGTCAGGGCTTCCATCGGATCTGGCTGTAAGGGGTACAAAGGAACACCACATGGACCTGAGCTTGTCAATACAGAAGGTAAAACGGACTAACAAAGTGTTTAGTGTACAATAAAAACACAAATAGCACGGGGAGAGGGAAAGAAGCCAGGAGAGGGAAGGGAGTAAGGAGAGGGAAGGGGCGAGCAGGAGAGGACTCACATGAGCCGCTGTCGAGGCCAAGACCAAAGTCACGGAACAACTGCATGTATGGCATCGGGTAAGGCATGGGGAGTGGGGTAAGGCAGGGGGCACGGGGTAAGGCATGGCACAAGGGAGTATTGGCACCCATGGATACGATTTTCACTGAATGTCGATGGAAATAGCAGACAGCCAACCACAAACCGCCACACTCACTATAGTCACACTCACCTCGCTAGCCCCCATGGCAATGCTCCTCCCCTGCAGCAGGGCACTCTCATCCAGTGGGGGCGATGGCAGGCCTGATGACAAGTCCTCTGGTAGGCCTGCTGTGGACCCTGGGGGATGGCAGGGAGCAGGGAGAGCAGCGACGGCGGGAGGGAAGGGGAGCAGGAGAGCAGGTGACACAGCATGAGGGGGCGATGAAAAGGCCCCGATGACACGTCCTCTGGTAGGCCTGCTGTGGACCCTGCGGGATGGGAGGGGGAGAGAGGGTGGAAGGAGAGGAAGGAGGAATTGAGGGAGCTAGGGAGGGAGTGAGGCAGAGAGCGAGGGAGGAGAGAGAAGTTTTGAAAGTGACACAGAGAGCGACAGAGAGCAAGGGAGGGGGCGAGGCAGAGATTCAGAGAAGGAGGGAGCGAGGAAGAGAGAGAGGAAGGGGAGAGAGGAAGGGGAGAGAGGAAGGGGAGAGAGAAAGGGGAGAGAGGAAGGGGAGAGAGGAAGGGGAGAGAGGAAGGGGAGAGAAGAAGGGGAGAGAGGAAGGGGAGAGAGGAAGGGGAGAGAGGAAGGGGAGAGAGGAAGGGGAGAGAGGAAGGGGAGAGAGGAAGGGGAGAGGTGAAAGTAAGAGAGCTAAGGAAGAGAGCAAAGGAAGAGAGCAAAGGAAGAGAGCAAAGGAAGAGAGGAAGGGGAGAGGTGAAAGTAAGAGAGCTAAGGAAGAGAGCAAAGGAAGAGAGGAAGGGAGCAGGGGACTCACTGGCCACGGCTGCTGCACTCTTGCGACACTCATTCACGAGATCCTTCCATGCACTGCGGCGAGGGATGGGATGACGGGGAACAGCGAAGGGATGGGAAGGAGTGAGGGAAGAAAGAGATTTGTGAGTTGGTGCAGTGATCACCTGCTGCACTCTTGCGGCACTCTTTGATGAGATCCTTCCATGCACTGCGGGGAGGGATGGGATGACGGGAAAAGCAAAGGAAGGGAGGCAGTGCGAGCATGAAGAGATTCGTGAGTCGACACAACAGTCACCTGCCGCACTCTTGCGGTTCGACACTCCTTCACTAGGTCCTTCCATGCAGTGCGGGGAGGGGTGGGATGATGGGCGGAGGGAGGAAGTTCGAAAGCAGGGCACTATGGTCTGGAGGATACAGTTCGAAAGCAGGGCACTATGGTCTGGAGGATACAGTTCGAAAGCAGGGCACTATGGTCTGGAGGATACAGTTCGAAAGCAGGGCACTATGGTCTGGAGGATACAGTTCGAAAGCAGGGCACTATGGTCTGGAGGATACAGTTCGAAAGCAGGGCACTATGGTCTGGAGGATACAGTTCGAAAGCAGGGCACTATGGTCTGGAGGATACAGTTCGAAAGCAGGGCACTATGGTCTGGAGGATACAGTTCGAAAGCAGGGCACTATGGTCTGGAGGATACAGTTCGAAAGCAGGGCACTATGGTCTGGAGGATACAGTTCGAAAGCAGGGCACTATGGTCTGGAGGATACAGTTCGAAAGCAGGGCACTATGGTCTGGAGGATACAGTTCGAGACAGCATGAATCCCCTGTATCTGCTGCTGGGCCCTTGTGAAACCCATGCATGTGCCCGTCATACACATGCCCATCACACACTCACCCGATGAGCTGTCTAGTGATGGCGCGCACTTTCTCTGATGGGTGGTTGCGGAACGAGTTCACTCTCTTGCCCACCTCCGTCACCTGATGCACCGACACATCCACGCAGCCAAGCATGAGTAAATAAAAGAAATGGCCCACCACCCTTTCCTGCTGAACTGACCCCTGCTGCCAATCTCCCAGTCACTTCCTTCACCTATCCACCGCTCATCAAAGGAAGCCCCAAAAGACGATCAACCCTCCTCTCCCCCCCCCCTCCTTCCCTCTCTTCACACCCTTCCTCTTCCTCCCTCCGCTCCATATTTCCGCCCCTCTCCTGTCTGCCAATGTCGCCATCACCTCTGTCTATACACCTTCACTGCAGCCCCCTCCCACTGTGTCCCCTCTCACCCGCAAGGCTTCGAGGGTCATCGGCATGTGCAGTAAAGACTCCAGATGCCGCACTAGATAGTCATTGTCCTGTCAGGCACAGGGAGAGGGGAAGTGGGGGGAGAGAGTGGGGGGATGACGGGACTACTAACGTGACTTTCGAAGCAAGCAATGAGAAGAGTGCAATTTCTGTACCGGTAACAACTTGTCCTGCCAGTCACGAGGGGTGGGAAGGGGAGAGGGTGGGGGGGAGTACTAATCTAGCCACTTCACAAGGGAGGGAGGACAGGGAGGTGGGTGAGAGGTGCGGTGTAGTGAGGCGAGGTGAGGCGAGGTGAGGCGAGGTGAGGCGAGGTGAAGGGACAATGAAGGGACTCCATGTGCTGTGCGGGATTCTTGTGCTTCTGCACAGCTGGAAGGCGTGTGGGGGGGAGGGGAAAGAGGTGGGTCTTGGAAGGAAGGGCCAGGCGTGGGAGTGACGTAAAGTTGAAGAGGGGTTGAGGGGGTGGGGAAGGGGAAGGGAGTTTCACTAACACTTGAGATTCTGTGGCCAGTATTGTGGCTTCGTTGTCCTGCAGAGTGGCTTCGTTGTCCCGCAGAGTGGCTTCGTTGTCCTGCATAGTGGCTTCGTTGTCCTGCAGAGTGGCTTCGTTGTCCTGCAGAGTGGCTTCGTTGTCCTGCAGAGTGGCTTCGTTGTCCTGCAGAGTGGCTTCGTTGTCCTGCATAGTGGCTTCGTTGTCCTGCAGAGTGGCTTCGTTGTCATGCATAGTGGCTTCGTTGTCCTGCATAGTGGCTTCGTTGTCCTGCATAGTGGCAGCGCAACAAGGGCACTTACCAGTCTGGACGGTCTAAGGAGGTCTTTAATCTCCTCAATACGCTCCACCAACCGATCCTCCTCCTGAAGCTGCTCTTCCAGCACTGCTGCGGTCGCATCACCCTCCTCCTCCTCCTCCTCCTCCTCCTCCTCCTCCTCCACCCATGTTCTTCCCTCCTCATCCCTCCCCATTCCTCTACCCACTCCTCTTCCCTCCCCCCCCATTAATCTCTCCCTCCCGTTCCTTCTCTCCCCGTTTCTGCCCCTACCACCGGACCCAGCACCAGCATGACCACTGTGTCTCCCACTTCGATGATCGAACCCATCAACGTGTTCGTTCTCTTTAGTAACATCAACATCCACATCCACTTCCTCCTCCTCCTCCTCTTCCTCTTCCTCCTCCTCTGAATCCTCGTCATCTGAAGCGTCGCTTTCCCCAAGCACAAACACGCACCCGCGCCGTTTTGTTCGCTTCTCCTCCTTCGTCTCCTCCTTCGCCTCCTCCTTCTCCTCCTCCTCCTCCTTCTCCTCCTCTTCCTCCTCCTTCCTCGCACCTCCAAGAACGTCTATCTCTTCATCCACGCCCTCGGGATGGCCTGACGGTCGTCCATGGCCTGACGGTCGTCCATGGCCTGACGGCCGTCCATCGTCTGACGGCCGTCCATCGCCTGACGGCCGTCTACACTTCTCGTCACTGCCGCGCACTTCCGGTCGATCTCGCTCTCGCCGGTCGCCGTCTTCCCGTTCGCGCCGCTCTTCCCCTCCCCGTTTCTCATCCTCATACCCACCCCCATCACCATACCCATCTCGTCTCCTTTCCCTCACATCGCCCCCATCTCCGCCTTCGTTCCGCCTTTCATCGTTCCCCAGCGCGTTTCTGACCGTCGGATTCAGCCCATCGTTCGCTGCTTCCTCTCTCGGAGCGCCTTCGTCACGTGCGTGACTTGCCGTCGTCGCGTGTTGTCGCTCTGCGGTTCGCTCTGCAACTCCTGTTGCTTGTTCCATCGCCCCCCGCTCCGTCGCCGCCCGTTCTGGGCTCCCCCGCGAGACGTGGGGGGGTGTTACGTCCCGCGCGTGCGACTGGCGACCGAAGGTGAACAGTTTTTCCGCGATACCGTCGCGTCGCAGGCGTAATTGCGCGGGAAAATCAGAAGCGGCTACCCGCAGCGCCCTGTCAATAACCGTCCAGATGTCGGCTCCTGAGTGGGTGAAATACTTCCGCCATCGCACGTCATCCTCCATACGCTCAAGATGCAACCCTGGTTACGTGTAACCCGGTTGCGAGGGGACCTCGCAGCACAAATTCGTCAAGCTGGCAACCCAAGTACGTGGCCCAGTAATACCAGGTCAAAATTCCGGCAAGCGTCAACACTTCGTGTGGATTCACAGCGAGTCAGAGGCTCTTGCAATACTTCCACGCTCTCGACCAAAGGGGCCTGACCGGGGACGAGCAGACGAAACGAGTACGGAGACCTGAGATAAGCACATACAACTCGTTGGCTGCAGCGGGGGGCAACGTCTGCAGCACAAGACAGCAGCGCAAAGTCAGCAGCGCAAGTCGGCAGCGCGAGTCGGCAGCGCAAGTCGGCAGCGCGAGTCGGCAGCGCAAGTCGGCAGCCCAAGTCGGCAGCGCAAGCGCAGCTTGCTGTAGCGCACCGCGGGAGTTCTCAACGATTGCGGTGTGCGGATACTACGCGACGACGGTGCGAGTCGGTGCACGACGGAGTCCGTCGGCCAGTAGGACCTTCTGGCACTCGCAGCGAGACGGCGAAGGAACAGCAGGAGCAGCCGACGCAGCAGGAGCAGCTGCAGTAGTTGTGCTCCACGAAACAATATTACAGGCTGGAAAACGAAGATCGTGGAACAAACGCAAATGCCCCTAGAACGGGCGGAGGTGCCTTGGGTAATTGGCAGAGTGAAGTGTCTTGGGAACTGGGAGAGTGAAGCACCTTGGGATTGGGAACTGGCTGGCTTTGGCAACCGAGTGACGAGCCTGAGGACGCGGTAAAAGTGCTCGTTCGGGGGGAAATCGAACCTGTCACCTCACTGAAACCCCGCGTTTTGTATACAAAAGATACACAACCGTTTATGACCGTGCTAAAAAACGAACCTGAGGCGATTTATTCTCCACTTTTACCGCGTCCTGACAGCCTTGTGACTGGACCAGGGAGGTAGGGGGGGGGGACCTTCTGCGGTGCGGTGGCTTGGATGGTATGATGGCAAACATGATGCCAGGGTTGAGCCACTCGCGGTTGCTGTTCTTGTATTTCTGTTACGGGTGCAATGAATCGAAGTAGCGAGAATTGCACTAAGGTGTCAAACGAGTACAAAATGTGAGCGAAGGCATGAGCGAACATTTATACGCGAAACATGCAAAACGGTAACGCGGTGCGTGCGAGCTTGCTAGTGCTACGCTGGAGCGAGGCTCGGGCTAGTCCCGAAGCGTATGCCGATACGGCCATGCCAGCAGTGCGAGGTTTGGCAAAACAGTGCGCGCGAAGTCGGCGAAGTTCCGTTAGCAGTAACGGGCGAACAATCGGCTGTTGCTGTACGCGATGTAGTCGGCTCCGTAAGGAATGCCGGGAAAATTCCTTACACTACCCCCCCCCCTTAAGAAGCCCCCTCCGCTACGCGAGTGCGTGTATATCGCGGAATCCCCGGCTCCTCAGGTACACTTGCAGGGCAGAGTGGTTTTCGATGTTGGCCAGGGGCACCCAGCTGTCTTCAGTTGGCGTGCGGTCCTTCCAGCGAACGAGGAATTCAATCCTCCTGATTCCCGTGGGGTGGCGGATCCGATGGCTCAGAATTTTTTCGGGCTCGATGATCGGCTCTGATGCAGGGCGAGTCATTGATTGTGGCCGGTGACGCGGCAGTTGACTTGTGGTCGGGATGTATGGGCGAAGTAGGCTGACGTGGAACGAAGGGCTGATGTACCAGTCGGTTGGTAATAGTAGGTGCGCGGTGACGGGTGTGATCATGTGACTGATTTGGAATGGTCCACAGTAGCGCGGTCGTAATTTTGGTACGTCGGGCAGTCGCAGATTTTGCGTGTCAAGCAGCACGTAATCTCCAGATTGGTACGTGACAGGGCGGCGGTGGCGATCAGCGTTGCGCTTAGCGATGACGTTGGCCTTTTTTATTGCTTCGGCGGCTCTGGCGCGGGCAGCTTGCAGGACTTCGGCGAATTGTTGTGCACGTGGTGTTGGGTTGTCCGGACTCGGCGTCATGGGCACTATGGGGTTTTGCCCATAGTTCAAGTAGAACGGGGACTGCTGCGTCGTGGCTGATGTGGCGTTGTTGTACGCGAACTCGATCAGTGGCAGCTGCTGCTCCCAGGTCGTGGGGTCGTCGCACGTGGCACGAATCAACTGCTCCATCGTCTGATTCGTCCGCTCCGTTTGGCCGTCGGTCTCGGGGTGGTACGACGAACTGAACTGTAGCCTGGTTCCGAACTGCTCCCAGAGGTTCTTCCAGAAGTTGCTGGTAAACTTCGTGTCCCTGTCGCTGATAATTGCTGCTGGTATCCCGTGCAGGCGAACAACGGCTGCGATGAACAGGCGAGCGGTCTCCTCGGTTGAGATCGACTTTTTGCACGCAGCGAAGTGTGCCATCTTCGTCAGCCTATCCACGACGACCATCACCGCGTCGTTACCCCCAGGGTTCGAAGGTAACCCTGTGACGAAGTCCATGGTTACTTGCTGCCAGGCGCGTTCGGGCGGTGGGATCGGCTGCAATTGACCCGCCTTCCGCTTCCTTGAACTCTTCATCACCTGACACGTCGGGCACGAGCCCACGTGCTGCTGTACGTCGGTCAACAGCTCCGGCCAGTAATAATACCGCTGCAGTTGCTGTCGCGTTTTTTCTACCCCGAAATGTCCCGAGGTAATCCCGTCGTGTGCCTCCTGCAGTAGCAGCTCCCTCAGTAGTGAGTACGCGGGTACCCAAATGCGGTTGGTGCCTGTTTTTACGTAATAAACTCCTTTTGCTTCTTCCAGTTGCTGTGAATTTCCGGTCGTGAAGAATGGGTCGGTGCGGTATCCGTGGGTGAATAGGCCAGTTAAAAGCGGGTTGGTCTGGGCGAGTAGGATGGCGTGGAGTTGGGCGGTGGGGCGGGTGAGAGCGTCGGCGATGTTGGATGCTCCTTTTTTGTACGTGACGGTGTAGTGAAAATTGGACTCAAGATAGTCCAACCAGCGAATCTGTCGTGGGTTGAGATTCGGTTGGGCGCGAAGGTACTGTAGCGAGCGGTGGTCTGTCCGTACTGTCACGTCGGCGCCAGTCAGGTAACATCGCCAAACTTTGAACGCGTACACGATCGCTAGCATCTCGCGGTCGTGTATCGGGTAGTTACGTTCGGGCGGGTGTAGTTTGCGGGACTCGTACGCGATTGGCTGGAGGCCGTTCCCGAAGTCCTGCAACAGTACTGCTCCCACAGCGATGTCACTTGCGTCGGTGACGAGCTCGAACGGACGGTGGGGATCTGCAATGTGAAGGACGGGCGGGGAGCACAAAATATTTTTGAGGGCCGAGAAGGCAGCTTGCTCTTTCTCCCCCCACGTGTACTCAACCCCCTTCCTCAGCAGGTCGGTCAACGGGGCAGTCAGCTTCGCCATGTCGGGGACGAACCGGCGCACGTAGTTGACGAACCCCAGGAAACTCTGCAACTCGATCAAGTTGGTCGGCGCGTGCCAAGCCTGAATCGTCGCAATTTTCTTCGGGTCTATTTCCACTCCCGCAGCTGAAATAACATGTCCCAAAAACTCTAGGCGGTCATGCAAAAACTCACACTTAGATACTTTGGTCAGTAGGCGGTTCTCACTTAGGATTTTAAAAACTGCCTCGATGTCGTGTAAGTGCTGTGCTCTGTCAGGGCTGTAAATCAGTATGTCGTCCAGATAAACGATGACGCACTTATCTAAAAGCGGGCGGAATGCTTCGTTCATGGTCATTTGGAAGGTGGCGGGGGCGTTGGTCAATCCGAATGGCATGACGGTGTATTCGAAAGATCCGTAGCGTGTTCGGAATGCGGTTTTAGGGCAGTCGGGTGGATTAACGCGGATTTGGTGGTAGCCTCCCCGGAGGTCAATTTTCGAGAAAACCCGGGCTGTGCGCAGTTGGTCGATCAGTTCGTCGGCTCGTGGGATGGGGTAACGGGATTTGATGGTAACCCTGTTCAGTGCCCTGTAGTCGAT